GGTAACGAGGTCCAAAGCGATAACGAGTGTAATTGAGAGTTGCTATTTTGGACACGATCCGGTGCAAATAGCAGTAGCCGTGTGCTTATGAGTTTTGACTGGAATTCTGAAGAGTTCAAACTGATTGAATTACCCGATATAGTTCGTACCCGCGCAGAGTCGCCTTGGGCCAGTCTCATGAACTACAAAGGAAAAATAGCTGTTTTTGTACACTTGAGTTTTATTGATGATGGTAATATGGATGTTTGGGTTCTTGAAGATGCTGAGAAGAGTCAATGGTCGGACAAGAAGACTTTTGTCTTGCCTTTTTCTCAGATGAATATCCTCCCTCTACAATTGGAGGAAATGGTAGCGTCAAGACCAATTGGTCGCGCTCAATTTTTTGGTATGATTGTGAGAGCATCATGTATTTGGAAATCTACTTAGAGTTTTTGTTTTTTTAGACATTCCAATTTAAATGATAGCATTACAAAGCGAGTAGACAAATGAAATCTGTTTTTGTGTCTAAAGTTTAAGTTGGAGAATGGAGCTTCATCCTTCGAAGAGAAAGGTAAGCTAAGAGGCGGTAGCCAATAATCATAGCTACAAGAGCACTCACTTCCTTAAGACCACTCTCAATTTCCTCTCCGTTTACGTTTTGCATGATTTCTTCGTATTGTACCTTCACTAGGAGCTTGTATGTGTGGTAGTTGAATGACATGAAACGTATCCAAGCAATAAAAACCGGAACTTTCTGCAAACAGAGAAAAAGTAGAAGTTTAGAATATGATTGAATGTGGAGAAAGTTAATTAGTATAGAAACCATCAGAAAGATCTTGAATTTGACTTGTAAGCTCTGTATTTTTACCTTCACGAAGTAGCCACCAGCGAGCATGAAAGTCATGACAGTTACTGATGCTAAAGTTGTGGCTTTCTTCAAGTCCATAAAACTCGCTCCTATTGCTAATCCAAGTCCCTTAAAAAACCAACATTTTGAATCATTATTTAGTACTTAGCATCTTTTGTTTGACATGTCCTTATGCGAACCTCTTTATTTTTATATGCTTACCTGAGCTGCAACGATGCAGAGGAAGACAGTGAGCACACTTAGGAAAAAAGACTCAGCTCTTAATCTCAATCCAGCCATGAAGTATACAACTACTAGGAAAAGCACAGGTAATATCAAATCAAGTGGCAAGTCACTTGTGGTTCTAGCCACAAAATATGCACTTAATCTATACATATTCGACTCTCGTTCCTTGCTCAGCATTGCTCTCTCTTGAGGAAATGTGAAGATCGCCGTGAATACCGGAAAGAACCCCCAGAAAACAGCAATGAAGAAGAGTAGCCCTACCTGAAATGCAGAGTGAGTGTCCATTTTCAAAGTAAGAGACTAATTTCTAAACAAGAAACATGTTTTTCAAACCTGATCTTGTAGGCCTTTAGGATGTTGAATGTCTGATTGCCACCAAAGTAAACCTAAGATGATTGCAGTGGAGAGAACTTGAGTGACTCTTAACCAACTGAAATAGTCATGCTTCCTTTCTTTGAATCCTCTTAAGGAAAGTATGCAATACTGTTCCCACCAGCTTAATCCCCATTCTCGCTTCGGACAAGTTATCATCAGTTTAACTTCTTCATCAAGAGGAACTGGTTCCATTAGTTTCTTCTTTTCCAAGACTGCAATATTTGTCTTGTAAGCTTCCTCAAGATACTGTGTTTTCCACATTAACATCAACATCACAATTAACATTGCTCTAAAAGATATCTTGATATATAAAGGTATCTCATGTCCTTGTCTCACCTCATATACAACTGTAGGAGTTGGCTTGGAAGATCTTATCTCGCCGCAATAATTTCCCGTTTTCGCTTTCTCTTTAAGCGCAGAAGGTATGGAGATATCGCTCATGTTTTCATTAGCTAGGTCAAGCAAGAACTCTGCTGGATTCATGGCGAGTAGAGGAGAACATCCAATGGAAGAGAAATAAGACATTGCTTCTGATGCTTTCCCAAAGTAAAGCAAGCTTCCTCTGCTAAGTACAACTAGCTTGTCAAATCTGTGAAAGAGCCTACTTGACGGTTGGTGAATCGTTGTTACGACAGTTTTCCCTTCCTGCATGCCAACAAGTAAAGGACTTGGATATGGTCAAATCCATTAAAAAACAGGATTTTGAGCTCCAAAGAGTGGACGTCTTACTTTTGCTATACTTTGTAGCATCTGAACAATTTTTAGAGCAGTAGTAGAGTCCAAACTAGAGGTAGGTTCATCAAGGAAAAGAAGTGAAGGATTAGTCATAATCTCATTCCCAATACAAACCCTTTTCCTCTCACCACCGGAGACACCGCGCACGAATGACCCTCCAATCATTGTGTCTTGACACCTATTACAATAATAGTCACAATGTTCTAGTTAGGTTCCTTTCTTAAGACTTAGCTTTGCCTAAAGAGGAAGTGCCTAAGTTGTAAGATGATAATGTTACCTTTCCAAGCCAAGCTCTTGTATAACACCAACAGCTCTTTGCTCCTTTTGCTGCTTTGTGAGGGTTTTAGGAAGGCGTAAAAGAGCTGTGTAGGTTAGTGTCTCTTTTACAGTTAAGTGAGGGAACAGAACATCATCTTGAGTCACAAATCCAACCCTGCCATGATGCTTTCCTATGTTAATTTGTGCGCTTATATATGCATCTACGGTTATATTTAGGATCTTCTTATATAACCTGGATTTCAAGTGCTTAGAATATGGCTTATCGTTGTAGCTAACGGATCCACCGTTGTTTTGCTGACTAAATCTACCACCAAGAAGATTGAGTAGTGTAGTCTTGCCACTACCAGAAGGTCCCATGAGAGCTAGAAGCTCCCCTGGATATGCTGAACCACTAATCCCATTCAGAATGCTCTTTTCTGATGAAGATCTCATTCCTTTAGTCGTTATCTTGTATGTGATATCTATGAACTGCACAGAACATAACAAGAATTTATTTGGTCAGGACATTTTGCAAGCAAAAGTTCCCATATGCCTGAAATTGCAAGAAAACTATTATATTTTCTACAGAAATATGACTTAAATTCTCTCTGATTTATGTACCTATATATATAACCATACCCTCTTGGTCCAGCGGTGAAGCTCTGCTTCACATGTTGCCGATAACCAGCAAAATTGTAGTTGAGCCTCCTAAGCTTGACTTTTGGGCACCAAAGTTAGACCAACAAAGAAGGTAAAACAGAGGTTTCCAATGTCTAGGAAGATTCATAATGCTATTCTTAATGCACTGATAAAGATAATTCTACTTTTAATGGCGAGTTCTTGTGCATATGAGATACAATAGAATAGACCCATTGAAGTTGGACTGACCAATGGCAGCAAAATCTAATATATTTCTATGGACTTTTGGGTGTGTTGATGATTTTAGATACATATCTCCATCAGTGCCTGCGCTCAAATAGAGAGTATCATAAAGATCAATTTCCAATGTTTTCGCGTAAATTTATCTATCCGCGGAAATAAGTTACCTTCAAATATATTGGAAAGGTTGGTTCTGCTTCAAACTTGACCACACTACTTGTTGCTGCTTCAATATCTTCCACTGCAACATGAAAGATAATATGAACAAGAACCTCCAAATTTTACATCAAGAACTTCAATTAGGTGCCGTGCTTAATGGTTTTCTTACAGAGATCGTCATTGCTGCATCGCTCTGAAGCAATTATCTCTTCATGTGGCACGGTGAATCCTGTGAAAGAGAAGGAAAGTCCAAGGGAAGCACTAGAGGCTCGGCTAAGAGCTGCACCACCAGTGAGACGACCAAGGTCAGGGTGTGCACTTTTGGCCTTCCTTATGTGAGTGTTCCTTCTGTTTTTGCTGTTGCTACTACCGTGGCTCGGCGATGATAATGTCCTAGCCATCACATTCTGCTTGCTCCCATGGCTGCTCCCATCACCGTTGCTGATATCAAGTGAAGTAGACTTAAGAGCTTCTGCTAGTGTTTCAGATTTGGCCTTGACCAAGCCTGATGATGAAGAGGTCCCCATTTCCATCTTGTTTCTGCACATTACAGAATCAAAAAAAAGGAATTGAGTTTTTTTTTTTTTTTGTTGGAACCATTAATTGACCTCATGAAAAGGGTTACAACTTTACCTTTGTGTTGAGGTTTAGGGAAGCTCTTTCTTGTGTTCTTGGTTGGAGATGAGACACATAAACATGACCTATTTATAGAGTTGGGCAGTTTACGAATATACCTTCAAATGCACACACTCTTTTGGCCTTAGAGACACGTGATAGACATGAGACCATGACCTACAAAGTAATCTCTGGCTCATGCATTTTACAGATGGTAAGTGATTCACTTTAAAGAGGAAATGGTCTTATCTCCCTATCTTCTTATTTGGTACACAATTTATTAGCAAAAGGCCAAAACCTGACTTTCGGTACAAAGAGTGAGGGTAGGAGAAGAGCACGTGGATCTTGATTCCTTTTAACCACCCAATAAAGGATTTGTCTTTCTACTTACTATTAAGCACATTGCTTAACCAATATCCGGTTCGAGGAAAACCGAAGGCAAAATAACAAACCGGAAGACTTATCAACCAAGTTTGTACGTAAATATTGGTTTAGATTTGTACCCAATTGGTTGATTTGATACACTTTATAATGATTAGCAATGATCTCATGTAACACAGTAAGTCAAAAATATCACATTTTAACTTTCTTGTGAGCTAACTAAGAGAGGAAATGCAACAATGAAGAGTTCATTCCTTGAAAATACAAATATTGAATGACAAGTTATCACTCTTATTATTGCCTTTCGAACGAAAAGAAACAAATTTATGAAATTGATAACTAAAACCAAATGGGTTTAAAACATCATTGGGTCTCCACCAATGAAGATCTCAACACTGCTTAAAGTGAATGGTGTACTTATTATATGTTATGATTGGCTCACAAAATCACAGTAGTAACAGGAAAGAGTAAGAGAAGAGAGTTTCTTTTCGAGCCCGGAGGATACAGAAAACATGATCAGTATCCCCAGTAGTCATTACGGATTTCGTCATCAAACTTCTTCTTGAGTTCTGGGTGCTTCTCAAAGTACTCATCTGCAGTCATGGTGCTGAGCTTTTTCTGATGGCGCAAACACGTAGAAACAATAATCATTATATCAGAATCTCGAGCACAAAATATACGCAGCTATTCCAAGAATTTGTTTTTGTGGGGTTACTTACGCTTATCTCTTGGACATCAGCAATTTCTTTCTCCAACCGTTCAGACTCCTTCAGCGATTTCTGTTCTGCTTCTTTCAGTTCCACCAACTAAACATGACACAAAAGAAACCAGTAAGTTAACCGGAAAGACCTTGTGAGCAGTTGAGTATTCTATGCTATTGCTCACCAACGCATCAAACTTTGGCTTGTATTCAGGGGTAACTTTATCCTCGTACTTGGGAATCTCAATGCCTGCGTCAAAACAAGAAGATAACACAAAAGTTTCTTATAATCTCCTTTGGTATACCTCCACGGTTCCCATAATCAAACAGGGAAAACAACAACTAAGGGAACTTCAATTTCAACGCCCTATGGACCAGATGAGATCTCTCTCAAAACCTATCAGTCAAGTTTCAAAACGAAATAAAGGCAAGCAGAAGACTTCCAGCACAAATTAGTTAAAAGAATGATCAAATGTTGCACTATAAATTTCAAGACCACACATATGCTAACAAGTTTCATAACAAGACATGGTCTGCTCAAGATTAAGATTTGCAGAAAGAATTTAGTACTTACTGTCATAAGCTTCCTTGTACATGTCCACAATGCCAGACCCAATACCCTTTCTGTAGAAATCCCAATCAATGGGTTCAGGTTCCTACATAAATCAACGAAATGAAAAAATCACTCCACAAACCAAGACACAAAACAAGAATTACACCATAAAAAAGACTTCTTTGGAAATGGCAATTTTGTGTGAATTATTGGCAATCTAGAAACCAATCATCAATAGAACATGGTCAGAACTCAGAATCAGTTCTTCCTTAGACTAAATTCAACATTTCAAACGCAGATGAAAAATATACCCAATGTTCTCTGAATAATACGTCTTAAAGGAAAAAGATCTTTTAACAAAATATATTTCTGAATCAACTATGGGAACAAACAATAATAGTGTCACCAACAACAACAACAAATCTGAAATCGTGAAATTCGTGAACTGATTCATCTGATCAAGAACACTAAATGTCGAATCGAAATGAACGACGATCTAAAATTCCAAACCCAGAAGCAGTAACCAAAAAAATCGGAGACGGACAAAATGGAGATGAGGAAAATCAGATCGAAGAAGATAAAGAGAAAATCGAACCTGACTAAACTTGGTCTGGAGCTGTGTGTTAACCTCATCGAAAGCACGACGGAGATTAGAAAACTCTCGGCGAGCCTCATCGGTGACAAGGACCTTAGCCATACCATCCCAATCTATAGTCCTCGAAGCTTTGAAAGCAACATCGGCGATTTTCTTACCGGCTCCGCTCATTTTCTCAAATTTCACCTCAAACTCACT